CTACCTACCTACCTACCTACCTACCTACCTATTATGTATTTATCATCTATCTGTCTAATCTCTCTCTCTCTCTTCTCTCAACATTAGAGATCAACATTTGCCTTGTGAATCCAGATGAGATAGAATCTCCTTCTTGCGCTCAGATTTAATATTCTGATACTGTAATTTAAATACCACTAAAACAGCCTCAATTTTGGCATGGCTGTTCCATCTGTGCAGCACACACACACCCAACCCATTCTCCTGAGGGTCCTGCCCTCTCAATATCCCCTTTCTGTTCCATTTCGATTATCTTATTCTTCCTTCTTGGAGTGTAACTCCTCCTCTGCTCTGCATCTATTCCCAGTGCAGACTCTTCATATTTCCTACCAGTGGAAATTGATTTACAGGGATGAAAAACTGTTTTTTACATCTTCTCCCCGTGACTGGAGGCCACCAGAGAAGTGATTTGTAGGCAGAAATGGCAGGTCCCCCTCTCCATGGAGACTGTATTTCAAAGGACGCTTAAGGATTTATGCACTTGTGAGAATCACACAATTGTTGTTTTTTCAATCTGCCTTCTTGAAAAGGTGCACAGGAAGGGACCAGGGTGTGGGCGCCTGTGTGTGTGTGTGTGTGTGTTTCCTAAAGCAGCCTAAAAGAGCAGCAATTTAAATTTTAAATTTATTCTGCATTTCCATCATTCAGACAACCCTGGGATTCGTGGGCAAGAGAGCCACTGTTCTTAGACGTGGATCATGGGTCCATGTGCAGCAGGTACGAAGTTAGGGAGAAACAGAAAGTGTGTGTGGGGAGGGAGGCTTGGTCTTATTTTCATAGGACATTTAGCTTATTTTGCAAACCTTGCACTGAATTTCAGTGCAAGGTACTCCCTATTAACAATACATGACAAACCATTACAAATCACTTTTAAGGAACTGCAAAGTCATTGCACATAGAAGTGTTTACTCTTCCTCCTGCTCTTCCTCCTTTCCTCCTTCTCTTCCTCTCCTTCTCCTCTTCCTCTGACTCCTTTTCACCTTCTCCCGTTCCCTCTCCTCCTCCTTCTCTTCTACTTCCTCCTCCTCCTCCTCCTCCTCCCCACGAACCCCATTCTCTTCTAGTGCTGATGATGTTACTTAGTTGGGTCATGAAATGTCTGTGAGAAAACCCACCAAGCTCAGAGAGTACTAAGGGCCCCACGATCCTCCCCTTCCCCTTCCCCTTCCTTCTCCTCCTCCTCTTCCTCCTCCTCCTCCTCTTCTTCTTCCTCCCCCTCCTACTCCTGATACATACAAGGAGACCTTGAGTTACAACAGTTCCTTTAGTGACCATTCAAAGTTACAATGGCACCGAAAAATGTAAATTATAGCAAGTCCAGCCCTCTATGAGTGATCTTAAACTCACCAAGATCAAGGAAAGATTTCACCGCCTGCGTCCTGGTTTGGCTCAACATGTGGATTTCCTTGCTGCCTGGTGGGAGGGTCCTCCCCAGAGTATAATGGGGGTGCGTGGGAGAGCTCGGACTTTGGCACCATGAATTCTGGACAGGGCGCCGGATGGGGGGCATCCTTTTTTCCCTATAAAAAGAAAAACCAAAGCCAATAAAGGAGAATATTGGTAGCTCGGGGTTGACATAAGGGGTCCTTGGTACTCTCTGAGCTTGGTGGTTTTCTCACAGACTTTTCATGACCCAAACTAGGTAACATCACCAGTGATAGAAGGGAAGAGGAGGAGGAGGAAGAGGAGAAAAAGAGGAGGAGGAGGAAGAGGAGGAGGAGGAGGAGGAGGAAGAAGAGAGGAGGAGGAAGAAGAAGAAGAAGAAGGAGAAGGAGAAGGAGAAGGAGAAGGAGAAGAAGAAGGGCAGGAGGAAGAGGAAGACAAGGAGGAAGAAGGAGGAGGAAGAGAGGAAGAAGAAGAAGAAGAGATGGAGGAAAAGGAAGAGGAGTAGGAGGATAGGGGTCTAGGTCAGAACAAGCACTTTTGTTTGGAAATAAAAAAAAATTCTAGTTTACACTTATCTGGGATGGTTCGTTGGGCATGCACACCAGGTAAAAGGACACAAGTTTTTTGAGACCACACATTGTTCATGCCCAGAAATTCAGCTCAAAAATTATGCAATTTTTGGAAGGACTTTGCAGAATCTACCCATGTTTGATGTCCTCTTTCCCCAGTTCAAGACGGTTTCTCTTTGTGTGTTTTGTTCATGCCATTCATTTCTAACTCAACTATTGTGTTCCTTCATGTTTACTGTGTACACGAAGCGAGAACATGTTTTCCTTTCACTCCCTGTTATGGGTAATCCAAACACCACTTAAAGTGTGAAATAATATCAGCATTCACCTCACTTTATATCTTTTTCTATGTTACCGCTATGCTTATTGCAGGTATTTGCAGCGTGCGGGAGAAAAAAAAAACCAGAGAGAAAAGCAGTGTTTTATAAATCCTATTTACAAACGTCTTGGGATTTTATATAATTAGATATATAGATATATATGTATATATGTATGTATGTATATATGTATGTATGTATATGTATATAATTTCGATGCATTTGGTTCTGCCACTTTGGAAACAGGTCAAGTGAGGAGAATTGTGATATCACAATAGAGAAATCTAAAATTGCACACACACACACACACACACACACACACACACACACACACACTTTTCTTTGTCCCTGTGGAGGTCAGGGGAAAAAAGAAGGGAAATGAAAGAAAAGGATTTATGTACAGTAAACTATAAATGGTCACATTTTCCGGATGTGTTGAACAAGATTTATGAAAGTCGCAAGTAGGCCGAAAATGTGACTATCTTCTCCCGTAGTTGGTTTCCTAGCAACTGATACTCTGAATATAAGAACACGAGATTGAGTTATTATAGCTGAGAGATATATTCAACCTCCATCTGATTAATCTACCTTTAACGCTACCTCGAGCACTTACTATTAAACATAAGTGATTCCACAACTTAATTTTTTTCATTTAAATAATGTCCTTTTCTCTCTCTCTCCTCCTCCTCCTCCTCCTCCTCCTGGAATTAATATCCATGGGCTGCTGTAGTTACAAATCTTTTATATAAATCTATTTTCCCCCTCTTTCCTGTGTATTTTATCGGTCTCCTCCGCTACCCTTCAAATGCTTCTCTTTTTAAAAAAACCTGAAATGGGCAATGCAGTGCATTTGATTTTTGAAAAGGACTTCAGAGCATAGTTCGCAGAGAGAACTTAACAAGGCATCAACAGGACTAAAATTTTCTTACATGCCTGGAGAAGGCAGTGGGGTTTCAATCGTGCTGCTCTATAGGGAATACTTGACTTATGGCATGAATTGAGCCCCAAATATCCATTTCTCGGTGGTTAAGTGAGTTTTGCTCCATCTTACGAATTTTCTCACCACAAAACCATTACCTCCAAGCAATCCATGGAATGGAATGGAATGGAATAGAAGAGAATAAGAGAAGAGAATTAATAGAACAGAATATAGAATAGAATAGAAAAGAATAGAATAGAATATAGAATAGAATAAGAGAATTAATAGAATAGAATAGAATATATAATAGAGTAGAATACGAATTAATAGAATAGAATATAGAATAGAAAAGAATAGAATAAGGCAAGAATAGAATAAGACAAGAATAGAATAGAATATGGAATAGAATAAGAGAAGACAATCAAATACAACAGAATATAGAATAGAATAAGAGAATAGAATTAATCGAATAGAATAGAATAGAATAAGGAAATAATAGAATAAGGAAAGAATAGAATAGAATATAGAATAGAATAAGAGAATGAATAGAATAGAATAGAATAGAATAGAATAGAATAGAATAGAATAGAATAGAACAGAAAAGGGAATGGAATGGAATGGAATGGAACAGAATGTTTTATTGACCAGGGGCGATTAGACACACAAGGCATTGTCCATAAACTTCAAAGTTTTCGTCTTACAGCTTTCCAAGAGATGGCCTTCATATAATAGCCATAGCAAGAACACTTGGACTTATATCACTTCACAGGGCTTTACAGCCCTCTCTAGGCGGTTTACAGAGTCAACCTGCTGCCCCCCAACAATCTGGTCCTTATTTGAGGATCAGCCAGTTCGGTATTGAACTCCTGGCAGCGGGCAGAGTCAACCTGCAATACCGCATTATAAGCACTGCGCTGCCACAGCTCGTATCTAAACCCTACAGAGCAGAAGGTTCGGTCGAATAGAAGCAATGGAGCGCTTCCTCCCTGCACCGCACCTTAGGATGTAATCTGGTTCGGGTTCCGTCAGATGGCTTTTATTGGGCATGCCTTGCCATATATCAAACACTCTCTCTTCCCACTGGTCCCCTTTTGATTGGGCCTTGGCTCTTCTAATTGCCTGCATGGATTTCCGGCTGAGTCTCCCATCCAATTGCATCACCTTCGATGACTTCCTCTTCCAGTTGATGGGCGTGTACCAAGCCACGGCCTAGAAAAGAGGCAGAAGGACTGTTCTGACCCAGCTTCCCAAACCCAACAAACCAGTGGTGGGATTCACATTTTTTAATTACTGGTTCTGTGGGCGTGGCTTGGTGGCCATGGCATGGTGTGGCTTGGTGGGTGTGGCTTAGTGGGCATGGCAGGGGAAGGAGATACTGTAAAATCTCCCTTCCCTCCCCACCTCCCTAACCTGCTTTCCAGCTCCGTTCTCCTGTGCAGGGCAACCAAAGGAGACCCAGACGATCAGCTGGGACGCGATGGGAGGCAGAGAAGAGATGGGATTGGCGGGGCCAGTCAGAGGTGGGATTGGCTGGTTCTCCGAACTACTCAAAATTTCCGCTACCGGTTCTCCAGAACTGGTCACAACCTGCTGAATGCCACCTCTGCAACAAACCTTGAACTCAAAAGATTCCTTTATTAGGAGCGCCAGCAGCCTCTCTCACAGGCTAAGAAGTCCATTTGGCAGGGAGATGAATAGTTGTCTGCCACATCCATTCATCTCCGCCCTCTGCCTTTTATCCCCAGAGCTAGGGTGGGGCTTCGCTAGCAGTGGTGGCTCTTCCATCCCAAAGACCGGCCCATAGATTTCCACTGCTCTCCTCTCCTCTGCCTTCTGCGCATCCATGTGTCAGGCACTGGGCCCAGCTGTTCCTCCTCTTCCTCACCAGCCACCTCCAGACCTGGGGGCTGTTGACTCTCCATCAGAGGGCGGCCCAGGCTCTGCCTCTGTCTCTCTCTCTCTGACAGCTCCATTCCCACTTGGAACTCCCAGGTTGCCCTGATGCTGGCCCTGATTCCCACACCACCTCCTCCTTCTCCTCTGATTTGGTGGCTGGAGGGGCCGGCGCCTGACAAGCCACAACAAGGACCTCGATTTATTTGGGAAGGCCCAGCTGCTACCTGGAAGACAAGCCTGTAATTTTATTTCTAAGACAAAGGGAAAAAAAGAAAAATATTTGGTGACCCTTTTCCTACTTGACCCGAATCTTGGCTTGCCTGATTTGAACTGCAGATTCTCCTTGTCTTACAACCTTCTGTTTAATTACCATTTGTAGGCAATGAAAAAAGGGACTTGTGAATGTTTTTCACACTTACAACCATGGCAGCATCCGCAAAATGATCAAAATTCAGACTCTTGGCAAATAGCTCATATTTATGACCGTTTGCAGTATCTGGGGTCATGGGATCCGCTTTGGTGATCTTCTGATGAGCAAAGTGTTCCTAACATAACAACTGCAATGATTCACTTAACAATGGTGGCAAGCAAGGTCATAAACCAGGATGAACCTCATTTAACAACGGTCCTGCTTAGCAACGGAAATCTGG